GGGGGGGGGGGGGCTCAACTGTATTTGGCAAGGGAAGAAGGGAGGGAGAGAGAAAGAGAGAGGGAGAGAGAGAGTGTTTTCATCTCCCTCTCTTGGAAAAACATCTCATTTTGGGATGAATCAGATTTAGAAAGGGTGTTAGGAGGTTGAGGCGCAGCTAAAATCCTAACTAACTTCAACCTCGTTATCACTGGCTCTCTGGTTTTGTGCCAACACACCAGGGCTGTCCCTGCTAAAACTGTGTGCTCGCCTGTGTGTTTGTACTCAAGATATTTTTAAGCCCAAGGCCACGTACTGTATGAAAGAATGGGTGGAAACGTCCAAGACACAATAAGGTTTTACCTAAGTGTGTAGGCAAGTGAGACTGCAGCCCTGCCTCAATGTGTTTTGGGTATTTTTGAAAAAGTGTCGAACGCTTTGTTTGTCATGTTAGTCCATGTTAAAAATTAGATAATGTGCGTAAGAAAATTTGAGTGTGTATGTGCCTGTTATGTGTGATTTAGTAAGTGTGCGTCTGATAGAACAGACAACAACCGGAGAAAAGAAAAAAAAAACACACACGCACAATCTGTCACATGGAAAAATCAGGATTGGCTGTGTGTGCCGCTACCATTTTGCACGGACTGTCATGTTCTTAAGACTGCGATGATGCTGCCAGCCCACTATCTTAACAACAAATACAAGTAGATCCATTCTTTCATGCTGTCCAAAGATGACTTGCATGCTTCTTGTAAAAGCCCTTTAACCCGGTGTTTGCCTTTGCTCCGATGTAACTCACACAACTCTTAGAGTGAAGAGCATTCTGGGAAATCAAGTCCTTTTGATTTTGCTGTGGCATAACTGCAGCACTGGAACACCATGACGTAATGCACCTAACTACCTACTTTATTATCAGTTATCAGGGATAATCAAAAGATTGGCATTGTAACTATCATTAACCAGAACACTGTCATCATCTTGACTGCCATCAGCGACGCCATATCAGCACATCATCTGAGAATACATCATCTCATTTTCACCTGACAAGAAACTGATGGGGGTCGCCAGGGTTTAAATGATTGGTTCATTGCATGATTGCCTGGCTGTGTCTACGATGAGGTTAAAAATCTCTACTGAATCATTTGTGTGAATCCCAGTCTGACACTCACTTTAAGAGAGTACTGGAGCTACATTGAGGAGGGATGATATGTTTTTACTTTTTACCTTTAGCTAGAAACCCCAAATAAATTCTGATTATTAAACATCACTCACTGGTGTAGCGCATAATTTTATCATTTCTTTCTTTCTGCACTCTCACCTTAGCTTTTACCTGCAAATACCTGAGCGGAGAGACATTGCAGTGAACCCTCAACTGCTGTCCAGCAATCTCCTCTCAAGTTACCTGCGTTATAAGCCCCGTTCACTTGCATTTAAGTCGGTGTTCTTGTTCGGTCAATCCTCTATTCTCTTAGCCTCCTCTTGTTTGTCTTGCTGTTGTACAACTAAGCTAAAATAAGCAGTGGCCTTCGTTCATATAAACCACACGCTTGTGACAAGCATGTCAAAGCCAGAAGAACCTACTGTACCGTGTATCAGTGAGGGCCCTGACAGCTAAATATATAAATATATAAGCTAAAAGAAAAACTGCTTACATGGGTTTTCCTCTTCCTCCAATACTTTGAGTTAGCATAATCTCTCTCCCTCTCTCTGTCCCTCTTTTCTTTTTGCTCACTTATTCTTTCCTTGCATACACATGACTGAGCAGAGCTGACACACACACTCACACACACACATTCCTGGGTACATGTTTCACAATGACGGTCCCTTACTGTACATGGACAATAAAACACATCACAAACTACTCAAACAACCTCCACAGGCACTTTGTCATGTCCTGTGTGTCTCTTACGGCTTCTCAATCTGCCCTTGATGACACCGCTTATGAGCCTTTAAGCGGCCCTCTGTTGTGCATGGGCTGACAGATCGAGTTGTCATTACATTAAGTAGGGACTCTCTATTAGTGCAAATGGTGGCACATAACCAGATAATCGGCTGTGGACAGCAAGTGTGGCTATGTGGGAGGTGAGATGCTAACGGATGGTGTGTGGGAGAGTAATGTTTTATGTTGGAGGAAGTGTGATATCTCCATTATAGACAAGCTTAATTGATAAACAGGACAATAAAAGCAGCAAATGGCCCCATAGATTTCTGCCTACAGCACAGCCAGCAGTACTGTAGGATGTCACTATACATATATATATTTATATCCATATATATAAAGGGGAGTAATGGCACTGACAACAATAGCATATTAAGTAGAGGCTTTAGAACAATATCAGACAATGTCATCATTGTAGAGAAATAAAAGACTAATAAAACCCCTCTCATAAAAGGAGGGAAGCAACGCTTCCCTGAGGGATCCCTCAAATGTTTCTTTCTTCTCACACTCCTCACTCCTCTCACCTAATCTCTCCCCCACTCCTTCACCCTCGCCGGCTGTATTTTACTCTCTCTTCTCCCTCCGTGATAGGAATACTGACTGATAATTGTCACAAATGGCCACGTTTAATTCCCATGCATAATAAGCGAGAACTTCGCTGCCATGGGGTAAAAAAAAAAAGCTTGTGCCGCCACGCTGTCTTTTCGAGCTCCTGAAAGCAAGCAACCGAAATGCTTCTTTCAGTGTTTCATGGCAATAATTTCAAAGAGGATAAAAGTGCAAGGGACATTCAGACGCGCCCGTTCCTAAATCAGCACAACAAATCAGAAAGGAGCACTTTCAAATGTTTGCCGGAGAATGCAAAGGATGTAAAAATAAATAAATAAATAAATAAAGCAACAATTTTGGCCAAAGTGTGCTCACCAGAATATCCGGATCAGAGCTCGGTGTACGGAGAATCCCGAGGAGTTTCCTCTGTCTTTCTTCACCCCAAGTTGAAGACAGCGATCAGACGCGCGCTCCCACAGTCCCGACTCAACTGCAAAGAGGAAAAAGGTAAGACCACATAGAAAGGAAAGCACGCCAGGCTACAGACTCTCTCATCCCGGGCGGCAATCGAGGTCAACCCCCCCACCCCCCTTCTCTCACCCACCCACCC